ACTCTATTTTCTGTTTTATCTTTTCTTTCATAGGCCTATAGTTTAAAAAGCTATTTCTAGGGACACATGGGTAGCTAAGTGCATGGTTAAGTAAGTGCATGGCTAAGTTAAGCATCTGACTCTTGATTTTGGCTCAGGTCATGATTTCATGATCATGAGATCGAGCCCCTCACTGGGACCCACACTGAGCATGGAGCCCGTTTCAGATTCCCTCTCCCTCTCCCTCTGCTTTTCCCTCGCTCACAGACTTTCGCATGGGCTTTGAAAAAAATCAATAGTGGGGGCGCCTGGGTGGCTCAGTCAGTTGAGCGTCCGACTTCAGCTCAGGTCATGATCTCACGGTTTGTGAGTTCGAGCCCCGCGTCGGGCTCTATGCTGACAGCTCAGGTCCTGTAGCCAGCTTCGGATTCTGTGCCTCCCTCTCTCTGCTCCTCCCCTGCTCATACTCTGTCTCTCTCTCAAAATAAATAAAGATTAAAAAAAATTTTTTTTTTCAGAAAAAATAAATAGTGAAATAAAAGCCTATTTCTAGTAATATTTCAAGTTTTCATTGACCCTTTGGCAGTATCACCCAGCTGAGGCTAGTTGTGTCTGGTTTGCCTTGTTTAGATGCATTAGCTTAATCCTGCCGGTTTGATGGCTTAGCTGGCAGTTTTATAGGGCCCTCCAAGAATGGCAGTCTTCAGGCGGGGGTGAAGGGGGAGGGTTACAAAAACCCCACAGTTCTTTTGTGTGTATATTAACTGCATTATAAGTTTTGAGTTAAAAAAAAAAATTCCTTAGGGGCACCTAAGGCATCTGACTTCGGCTCAGTTCATGATCTCACACTCTGAGTTTGAGCCCCACGTCAGGGTCTGTGCTGACAGCTCAGAGCCTGGAGCCTGCTTCGGATTCTGTGTCTCCCTCTCTCTCTCTGCCCCTCCCCCACTCATGCTCTCTCTCTTGCTCTCTCTCGCTTTCTCTCTCCTTCAAAAATAAACAAACATTTGAAAAATCAAAAAAAAAAATTCCTTGGTAGAGGAAAAGACCTGTATCTTTTTGTTTCTCCTAATACTACTTTTTCCATGGATTTCATCACATTGACTATAGCATCAGAAGAGTGATGTGCTCAGCACACTCACGGTTACCATTTTATTACATTACAACAAAGGCTGTACCGGTCTAAAGAACGGTGCACTGTGTTCCCAGTGAGTGCAGTTTTCCCTTGTGAGTTCAGAGCCTGTCCCTGCTACTCACTGGCTTTGAATTCGTGGACAGGTCCTTCAACCTTTTCCCGTAAGTGCAGTATATTAGAATATCAGGGCACAAGGGTGGCTTATGTAGCTTCTAAGAGACCAATCAATGGTATCATAATTGTCTGTCTACAAAAATCATACAAATATTGTTTTTATTATATAAGCTCAGAACATAAAGTTGGACATTCTTCTTGGCTGGTTAGGCAGTGACCAACAGAATTTAGTAATACTGAATTAAATGATGAGACTGCTTGCAGCCCTCCACTTTTTCATTAGAGGATTCTGGCAAAGCAGCCAGTGAACATATACCCATTATTATACAGAAAGAGGACTGGCATACTTTTGATATTCTCTCTTCCTCCTTTAACCCAGTTTCCAGTTTCCTGATCTCTTTTGTGCCTGTATGGATTTGCCTATTCTGGACCTTTCATATAAATGGGATCACACAATACGTGGTCTTTGATGTTTGGCTTCTTTCACTTAGCAGGTTTTCAGGGTTCATCCATGTTTTAATGTGTATCAGAACTTTTTTTTTTTTTTTTTAAGTTTATTTTTGAGAGAGAGAGAATGGGAGAAGGGGAGAGAGGGAATCTCAAGCAGGCAGGGCTTGAACTCTCGAATCCTGAGATCATGACCTGAGCCAAAATCAAGAGTTGGATGCTTAACTAGCTGAGCTGCCCAGGCACTCCAGTACTTCACTCCTTTTTGTGACTGAATAAAATTCCATTGTATAGATATATCATTCTGTTTACCTGTTAGCTGATGGACATTTGGATCATTTCCACTTTTTGTCAATTATAAACAATGCTGTTCTGGACATTGTGCTCAAGTTTTTGTGTGAACATGTTTTCATTTCCTAAGAGTGTAATTGCTGGGCCATAGGATAACTTTACATTTAACTTTTGAAGGAATTGGCCACCTGTTCTCCAAAGCTATTGTACTATTTCACATTCCCTCCGGCAACGGGATGGTACAAAGGTTCCAATTTCTCCACATCCTCACCAATAATTATTTAAAAAAAAATTTTTTTTAATGTTTATTTAGTTTTGAGAGTGAGAGAGAAAGAGAGCACAAGCTGAGGAGGGGCAGAGAGAGACACAAACACACAGGATCCAAGGCAGGCTCCAGGCTCCGAGCTGTCAGCACAGAGCCCAGTGCAGGGCTTGAACTCATGAACCGTGAGATCATGACCTGAGCCGAAGTTAACAGACTGAGCCACCCAGGCGCCCCACCAACAATTATTATTGTGTCTTTTTTATTATAGCCATCTTAATGAGTGTTAAGTGTATCTAATTCTGCTTTTGGTTTACATTTCCCTAACAACTACTTCAGTGTTAGTAATCTTGTCCTCACTGTTGCAATCATTGTAGCATCAGCAATCTTAAGAGTGTATATCTTCGGGGCGCCTGGGTGGCGCAGTCGGTTAAGCGTCCGACTTCAGCCAGGTCACGATCTCGCGGTCCGTGAGTTCGAGCCCCGCGTCGGGCTCTGGGCTGATGGCTCGGAGCCTGGAGCCTGTTTCTGATTCTGTGTCTCCCTCTCTCTCTGCCCCTCCCCCATTCATGCTCTGTCTCTCTCTGTCCCAAAAATAAATAAACGTTGAAAAAAAAATTTTTTTTAAAAAAAGAGTGTATATCCTTGTTGTCTGTTGCTTGGGTGTTAAAAAAAAAAAAAAAAGAAAAGAAATCTTAATTTTTTTCATATTGTTTGAAGTTCACAAGGCATTGTCACATCTTTTATCTCATTTGATTGCTATAAAGACATTGTGAAATAGGGTAGAAATATTACTTTCATTTTATGAATGAAGAAACTGACTGTAGTTGGAGGATTTGTCCCAGGTCATACAACTGATAAATAGAGTAGCTTTTCTCTGAACCTACAACTTTGACTCCTCATCCCCTCTTCTGTCCTCCCCATCATGTTGCCATGTTGAGGAATTTCATGTTCAGGATGACTCAGACTCTTTGCCTTACAGTTGTAGAGCCAGCAGCTTATAAGTTTATGATCTATGATTTCTACCATATTTAATATTAGCTGCCATGTATTGACAGTTTTTTTCATGCACTTTTACTAGTTCTGCAATTTTCCCTTATATTTGGGTAAATATCTTCCAGACCTTTCCAGCTCTCCCCCAGGGCCTTATGGTCAAGAAATGTATGTGTTTCGATCCGAGGAGAGATTCAAATCCCCACCCATCCTACCTCCTCACCTTCTTCAAGTTATTCTTAACAAGGACACTAATATATCTGTGAGTATCCTGAAAGGATTGCTGGGGCATCTGGGGGTTACTAGAACCATCTGATCCAAAGTTAGTAATCATAGAGGTCAGGATTATTACAAAGCTGTGTTAAGAATATAAATCATGTGTATATCAATAGCATTACAGATCCTTTTTTCCAGGGCTGAGTTGTTACTTTTCCAGCTATTGATATCAAAATTCATAGTTACCTTCTGATTGTAATAAATTAGACCCAGAACCATAGATTGTTAGAAGTCCCAGAAACTGGGACTTCTATTCCAACAGAAGATAAGGCATATTTATCATTTGGGAGTATACAAAAGGAGTATAAGGGGTTTGGGTTTGCGTTTTTTCCCCGTATAATTGATATCTCTAGTCAGTTCACTTGATTCCCACTAAGGTTTTTGTCTCCTAACACAAATCTTCTGTACGTGTTGTGGGCAAGATTTTTGTTTTCACTCTTATTAAGGGAGATAAATAGATGCTAAGGCTTAGGGTTTGCCCTGGACTCAGAATTTTCCTAATTCTCTGTAATGAGAACAAATGATTGATATATAGTATCATTTAAAAGAAATATATATTCTAGTTTAGTTTCTCAACAGTTTTTTTTTTAATTTTTTTCATGTTTATTTATTTTTGAGAGAGAGAGAGAAAGCATGAGCGGGGAAGGGGCAGAGAGAGGGGGAGACACAGAATACAAAGCAGGCCCCAGGCTCTGAGTGGTCAGCACAGAGCCCGACATGAGGCCAGAACTCACGAACCATGAGATCATGACCTGAGCCAAAGTCAGACGCTAAACCGACTGAGCCACCCAGCCGCCCCTCAGAAGTTTCCAAAGAGCTCTGAGGAAGAGTAAACTGGTTTAAAACTGTGCATTTAATCCCATTTAGTGATTTTTTTCTTTCTTAGTGTGACCCAGCCTTGCTTCCCGAGCCCAACCATGTTATGCTGAACCATCTCTATGCATTATCCATTAAGGTGAGTAGTGGGCCTGGCTCTTCCCCAAAATGAGAGGGAAGGGGTAACACATGTTCTTCAGTGGTAATTTGCCCTGCTACCTCACTGAAGCTAAAGCTGGCCGTAATGGTCAAATTGTAGGAGAAGTTTCTTAACTAGTAGGTGGATTTTTTTGTTTGGTTGTTTATTTTAAATCTTAGTCCCTATCCTACGTTCTGGCTAGCTGAATTGCCCTGTGACTTAATGACCCTTTTTCCTTCCTGGTTTCTTTTTGGATAGCTATAACCTTTGTACCACCTACTTAATTAAATTAGAGTTCATAGCACTAGGATTTCATTGCAGACAAAGCAAGTTTATCTTTCCAGTTTGGAGAATGCTCAAATATGACTAAGCCTTTTGCTTTCTAAAGGTGGATAGGAGCTGCTGTCGGGTGCTTCAGTCACATATACCCACTGATTGCATCTCTCCTCTACACTAGGTAAAGGGGAAATGTGACCAGATTTGCTCTGTCACCTCCAACTCTTAGCGTTCTCCTTAGTTTTTCTGCTGCCTCGGAGCCTGGGTTGAAAATTATCCATTCAGTCCCATCACATCTTTGTGGTTTGGCTACTGGAGTAAAGTTTTAGATAGCTCTGTAGTTACCAAACTAGGCTCATTGTCAGAATTACCTGGGGAAGTTTGTAAAAATACAGATTCAAAGCCTGCATCCCCAAAGATTCTGAATAAGTATGTCTAGGATAGAGTGCCGGTAATTGTTTTTTAAGCTGCTTTTATTTCCTAGATGTGCAGCCAGATTAAGGAAATCACTGATATAGCTATCTTTAACAGATTATGTGTTACTTTTCAAATATATATATTATTGAATTTAAATTTTATAATAACCTTGTGAGGTAAGTATTATTTTTAACCCCTGTTTTATAGATAAAGAAACTAAGGCTCAGAGAAGGTCATATTGCCAGTAAGTACCGGCAAGAGGACTGAGGTCCTCCTGTCCTCATTCCATGTTCTTTTCTAGTGGTCACTGCACCAGGTCTTTCCAAGTAGGTCTTTCTGTCACCTGCTCCTCATTTTTACCAGACCCTTCCTGGAGCAGAGTTTTGGCTTATTTTATTTTATTTTTTTAACCTGCCTCGCTTCTGTCATATTTAGGCTGTGATCAGCACACTCTGGTCACAGAATGTTAATCTGAGAAGTATTCATTGTAGATACTACAGCATACGGGAAAATAGGAAGATGCACTGGGATTAGACTGAATTTTGCCTCCTGTAACTGCTGTTTGGCTCTCCATTGATGCTCACAGGCCTGCCCTCTCCTCCTGTGGCATGCCCTGAGGCTGCAACACAGCCGGGGAAAGAGTACCTCTTACTCTTCATATTGATTCTGACTCAGGTCAGTGTCTTGATTACTGTAGTTCTGCTTGACCTTGACCCATTCATTCTTGGTTCTGTCAGATTGTTTAGGCTGTTTGGAGCCACTGGATTGAATATCTTTCCAAAGAAGATTTTGGGGTCCACTTTGTTCAGAGAGAGGGATTCCTGAGTTTTCCTCTTGATTAGAATGAACTTTTTAAGTTCATTCCTGGTATTAAATGGAAATTAGACCTGCTTTGGGGCTTGGAAAGGTCAGGGTGGGGGATCACTGCCCTTTCTTCTCAGTGCATTTTAGACTTTCTTCTAAAACTGAATGTCAAAATGTTTTTTCTTTTTTCTTTTTCCATGCAAGTTTTAATTAAGCCCAATATTCAAATATGAGGTAGGGAAAGGAGTGAGGTAGGAGACTAATATTTCTTCAGCACCTATTATGTGTCAGGTACCGTGCTAGATATTCTCATATAATCATCAGTGCCACCTTAATGGTAGGTGTTATCCTCTGTAATAGTGAGGGAAAAGGCCTAGAGGCATCAAGTAGATTACTCAAGGCCACAAACAGAGTTACAGGAGGAGTCAGGATTGGAACTTAAGTTGAACGGACTCCAAAACCAACCTATTTCTATAATTTCCAACTATCTGTTAAAAGTGAGTGACTGAAACACTGATGGCTGGGAAGAGCCGCCTGTTGCCTAAACTAATGAATTAGGTGCATGTTTCTTTCCCTTGCAGGACAGTGTGATGGTCCTTAGCGCAACCCATCGCTACAAGAAGAAGTATGTCACTACTCTGCTGTACAAGCCCATCTGAAGGGATCCCTTCCTGCCTCCGGGATTCAAGAGAAGCATCTCCCTTGCCTTTCTGGACTGGACCAGTCTTCACCAGAGACTGGAAGGCTAACTTGCTTTGAGGCTGATGCGTGTGTTTCAGAGCCTTTGAGTAGGATGCTCTGCTTTTGCATCTGATTGCAGATGAGAGCTTTATGAGTTCATGGAATTTATTTTAAGAAAAAAAAATTATATATATATACATATACATATATGAGAGGAAGGTTAATGGAAGCCTCCTAGCTAGATGTGTTCTCTCTGCCTATGGGGACTCCCCAAGACCTGTTTGGGGGAGCCGCAGGAAGGACCGTTACAGAAAGCTTGTTTCTTAAAATGAACGAAGAGCCAACTCTCAGGATCCTTGTTGGGTAGAGATTCTGTCACTGCTACCTTGGCTCTCCAAAGAATGGGCTTGTGCCAGACTTCTGCCCTACTTCCAGCTGCCTCCTTGGCAGGGGCAGCTTTCCTTGCATGGGTTCTCTGTATTCCTAGAGTGTGTGGCACAGTCTGTGCTTTTTATGATAACCAGATGCCCCACAGGAACCCTTTCCCTTCTCATTTCACATTCTTGCTTTGATAACCTCCTTCCGATCCTATACCTGACCCTTCCCTAACAACAAAACTCACTGGCAGGTGACCCCTTTCAAAGGCTATGTAAGACCTGACCCACCTCAGAGACTAGGGCTGCCAGAAAGTCTCCTTTTTTAGCCCAGCACAGGCCCAGGCCACTTTGTTACCACTTGTTTTAACTTCTACTAAAGAAAATAGGTCTCAGCGTTGTAAGGAAGGCGGAACGCGGAAGGTCTACTTTCTTGTGTTAGTTTAGTGCCACGGCTTAGGCTGTCTTGGCACGTTCCCGTCAGTTTTCCCACCTGGCCTGGCCCTGCTTCCATATTTTCTTTCACAGATCAGACACCTTTGAAGATGGGAGTGGAACCAGGGAATGCTTTAATGTCTTTCATCCTTGGGAGATTTTTTACGTGCCTACATTTTTCTTTAATTAAAAAATGCCTTTTCATTGTTCTTAAGAGACTACATAGGAGAACTTTAGGCCCTTGATAAATGGTTCCCAAGATTTTCTTCAACAAGAAAGTAGTAGTCTAGTCCTCTACAGTCTTACATTAATGTGACCAACCCCATGCACATCATTACACTAAACACTGTTCTAGATACAGATTCAGGTTCACTGGGTGCACCTAAAAATTTCTTTTAACTTCAAGATCCATGACGCCAAGAAGCAGGAAAGTAGCCCTGGTGTTCTAACCGTGAATAGTATTGCTTCCCTGTACCAAGTGCTAATGGAAAATCACTTTGTCTTTCTCTTTTTTAAAAGTGTTTGATGATGAAGCGAGGTCAGTGACTTTCATTTGTGGAATGAAAAGTAGCTACTCATTCCACTCTTGAAATGTTGTTCAAAGATAAAACTTTTTTCCCCCAAATATCTGTGGCTCTTCCATTACAGATAAATGCAAGTTAAACATTCAACTCTGAAGGAGGCCAAACTTGTTGCTTGAGAGACACCTTCACTGTTAAGATGTGTCCAGCCGCACTGAAAGGGCGCACCCATAGGTCAGTTTAGCTACCTCCTGTCTTTCCTATTCAAAGCTGATGACACAGTTGTCTTCGGGTTATGTAGACCTGTTAGATCCTGGGAGGGAGGCAGTAGGGCATTGGGGTGGTGGTTTTGCTGGGAATGTAAATTGTTAAGTGCTTTGATGGTTACTTGCCGAGAGTAAATACCGCTTTAGCCACTCAAGGCTGCCTTCTGCAGCAAAAGGCTTGTGTGGGAAACCTTTTATGGTCCCAACCACTTGTTGAGTGGTGTGTCATTTAAAAAATCCAGGCCAAATCCTATTATTACCAGCTCTCAGGATCTACATTGTCTTCAGTTATAGTACTGTTTTTTCCAATACCCATTAAATAAGTGGGCCACATAGGAGGATTCAAAATCCTGGTTGTTAAATGGAGGATTTTGTTACACTCCTTTTTCTTGTCAACAGTATTGAAATGTGATTGCCTATGTGTTCGTGTATTAAAATTTTTACTCTACACAGGTGTATCAGTAGAGTGGGGCAGGAAAAGAGATCCCTTTAATTTTGATTTCAAGCCAGAGGCTTCTGACTCCAGTGACGCTAGGTTTTGGTGCTGGTGGCCTTGAGATCTTCCCGATCTGGAAATGTAGAGTGTCAGTTTCCCAAGTTCTGAGGTAATCTCTTGGCCAAATGTGACATGAGAGCCCACCAGCTGGTATGGAAGAGGACAGGCAAGGAGAGCTGGGCGATGCCCCCTTCAGCACTGTCCCTTCTCTGCACTGCTCATACACCTCTGGCTCTGAGAAGCCTGTCACACACAGTCTGTCTCCAAGAAACTGTTCTAGAAGGTAGAGACGAAAGGAGGAAGGTAGCCCAGAGTACACCCCACTCATTCTTTTATGTTGGTTAAAGGGATAGTTTATTTTCTGCAAGAGAGAGCTTGGCAGATTTTGAAAATGAATAAAGGCAAAAAACCCCCACATTTTTAGCTTTTTTTTTTTTTCTTTTTAACCTATAGGAGTTTCACAGAGTCAAAGTTAGAAGAGTTAGAAAATCACTCTTTAGGAGGGCTCACCCTTTAAGAACTGCATCGTGGTTTGGGGGTTGTGAGGAAAAAGGAAGAGTGACTGAGCTAAGGAGGATACTAGGAAACTAAAGGCTTCCATAACTCAGAACTAAAAGTAGCCTTTTTGTTGTTAATTACATGAGACCTGACATACTGGAATCCTTGGATCTCACTGAACAGAACCTACTATATAAAACATCCCTTTGTCTCTTGTTCTGTTCTCTACCCTTTTTTCTGAATTCTGCTTTACCTTCAAGCTGACTTTTACCAGAGTCTCAGGTCAAACAGTACCTAAAACAAATGTTAGTCCTCTTGCTGGTATGGTCATGGTTATTAGCTTGCATTAAGCTTAGAAATGAATGGGATTTGGTCACTGCAAGTAACACCCCCTAGGGGCATACCTGGCCTCTACGGTGTTGGCTTTTTTAAAAACAATGCTTACATGGTAGAGAAACCCTGTAAAAGAAGAATCCAAGAGAAGATTCTGAGAGGATTGTACAAACCTCGGCCTCCAATTATTTCTTGTCTCTTGTAGACCTAATGGATCTGAAAAAAGCCTTTTCAAAGTGTCAGTACTACATGCATGCTGCTAAAATGAAGTTTGGAAAGAAGTATTACCTCCAGGCTGGGCTTATATTAATCTGAGTATAAATGAAGGAGACATAGTAATGATAGAAGCCCCTGCTTCTAATTGGGGAAATAGGGCTTTTAAAATTTTGACCTCAACTAAAAATGATATGCAATAGTCTATGTTGTATGTGTTTGAAAAATATTCTATCTCAGAGATTTCTAAGTCCTCACGTTCTAGTGATTTGGGGCACAGGCCTACGAGCAGATACACAATTTGTTCACACATTATTCTGACTCATCCTTAAAACCAAGGCCTTGCTGTCTTCTACCAGGGACTGCTAGCTCCAGCTACGCATGGGATAGAGCACCTGGGAGGGGTGGGGTTAGTTAGGGTCTTTCACAACTCCGGATCTAGGCATTTGTCTCTCCCTAGGTGCCCATCACAGCAGAAGGTAGAAGGCCTATCATTTCTTCAGTGAACCCAAACTTTTGGAGTAAAAGGGCCAAATTCATTTTTTAAATTATAAGAAGGAAGGGAGGGAGGAAAAGAGGGAAAGAAAGAGAAACCTTAAGAGTCTATTACTTATGAAATCCAATTCTTAGCAGTGGAATCCCTCTAGGATTCAAATGTGGGCTTTGTCTTGATTTACTTTTCTCGATTGTGCTTTGAAGTGATTAAATTTCATTAAAAATTAATGTATTAGTTCCATCCTTATTTGGAGTTGAATTAATTGGGTGTAGCACAGTGCTTTTGCAGTAAGATTGCTGTGAAATACCAAACGCTCTGGATTTTGTAGTCAGGTTAAATGGTCAAGGGGTATCTACCTACCGTAAGTATTATGTATTTGATCATCTTTTCTGTTCCCACCTACAGAACACTTACCTTACCTAGCTTGTGGTTTTAGAACAGCCAAAGCTCACTGATGTCCATTAGTCCTAATCTCCACACTGGGCCCATATGTGAGACTTGTTTGAATTTTGGTAAATGGGAGGATGCTGGTTGTTATTTCACTGAAGCATTTTGAATGAGTGCAGCTCTGTCATAAAGGGGGAATAAGACTATAATTTGGAAGGGAATTAAATAAGCAAGTCCTCCTTTAAATGGTGCTTTTTGTAACCTTTAGTGCCGAGGTACAGAGCTGTATTCCACAAAGGAATGGCATATGAGAATGGATTTTAAAGCTTTTCTCCAAATGTAATTTGTCATTGGACTTTGACATGTCTGAAAATTATGTGATGTAACAGACAGAAATGTGACATTTTTTCCCATAAAACTGTTGAATAAAAAATATTACACAGCAATAATATTTGAGTTTTTCGCTGGTCACTGATTATCTTATCACAATCTATCTGCCTCAGTAGTCTCAGAACCTAAAGAATGTGAACTGCCACACAAACACATTTGAATAAAGAGAGAAGGTGTAGGTGTAGGACAGAAGTGATGTCATCCATCCATCTGCCACTTTTCCTCTTTTCGTTCCAGGCTATGCTGTCATTAACTAGAGGAATGCAGACTCCGTGGTTTGAAATGCAGCACTCTAAAACTGCATAGTTAGCTATTGTCTTGTGTTGGGTTTGCTGAGACCCTAGACCATGGGTTTTCACCCTTGTCTGTACATTTATCACCTATGCAGATTCTATAAAAATATTGGTGCCCCATCCACTACCTCCATCCCCATTTAAATAGAAATCTCTGGTATGGAATCCAGGTATCTGTAATCCCTCTAGGATTCAAGTGTGGGCTTTGTCTTGATTTACTTTACCAGGTGAGTAAATTACCACATTACCAGAGGAGTCTAATGCACATCCAAGGATGAGGATCCTCTCTACTTATTCTTACTGTTAGATACTTCTATGGAAGCAGATTATGTGCTTCATTCTGACAGCAAATCACTCTCCTCAAGTTCAGGGTCATGGTGGTAGCAGGATAATTTTTGTCTTCCATCCCTTATTTCACAGAATTCTTACAAAGCTGACCCCTGGACTTTGAAACAACACAGTCAGACTCCCTTATACACGCCACTCCAAAGCATCTAAAGCGAGTTACACTTCCTTGAGGGAGAGAAGAGAGTGCCACTGGGAGTGACCAGAAGGTGAGAAGAGTAGGGGAGGTGATGACAGAAGTGAATGTGAAGGGGTGAAGTGGGGCAGGTGATGAAGACAGGATTGCGGCAACACAACAAAAGTCAACCTCAGCCCCCCCACAGCAGGTCACAAGACTACCTGCAGATAAGGTACAGTGTCAGATGTGATGTGGACTCAGCCTCTGACAGCATGCTCTCCTAAACATCATGCCCTCTGGCCACTGAAACAGCATGGCACCAGAAATCTATCAAGGCCCAGACTTGCATCGGTGTGTGCTTCCTAAAGCATTTCTCTGGCTCACTTGGCTAAGGGTCTTGTTGGATCCCTTCGATACCCACCCCCCTCCTCTGCACCGACAGTTACTCATAACACAGGTTGTTCAAAGACATCATGAATCTCTCCCCTACACCCATGGCTTGTGTGGCCAGTGGTCATCCAGCCGCACATATGTGAGTCCCTCCCCCCTTTCCCAAACCCATTCTTTGAATCCAGGGCACTTACACGGGCTGAAGATGAATTTCCCCATTCTCTCCCACCAGTTAGAATTCCTCAGGCATTCAGTTGTGCTCTGAAGGACACTCCTGTCTTGTGAATGTTCTCTTTTTCACTGACTTCTAGGGAAGAGGGCAGGGCTCTGTGTCAGAGGTCAGAAGACCTAAAGTCCATACACTATATGGTATTTTTAAACCAAAAGTAGGTTTTCACAAACTTCTCAACTTCTTCTGAACTAGTGTTCCTTTCACTATAGCTTCCAAAGTGCACCTGCTAGTGACAGCTTATGATAAGAACATCAGGCAAGAATACAGAGCACCCCTGGATCATGGGAGAAGTCTTTACCCCAGGCCAACTGATTCCTCAAAACTATGACCTGTACTGTAACTTAGTTCTTGTTTTCAGGGATCTTTGTTAGAGATTACAGTAGTTCTGGGTCACAAGTAGAAGTTAAGTTTTGGGACTGGGTAGTGGGAGAGATGTTGCACACTCAATTGGATCTCAGAAAAATATCTCTGGGGGTCAGGCTGAGGACATCTTGGATGTGTGGGGTCTTCCGTTTTATCCACAAATGGAAATATTCTGCCACCCCGAAGATGGTGTTTCTTTTTCTCCCCCAATTAGCAGATCTGGTTCAGAAGGTCATCTAGGAGAGTGACCTAGAGTTAGGATATCTGGGGGCAGAGTAGAAGAATTTGACAATCCCGGGAATCTACCAGATAAGGAGCCAATCTGAGCTCGCAACTTTTAGCTATTAGAGAACTGTAGTAGCAACTAGGTCTAGATGAACTCAAGTTCATGAAACAAGGTAGAACTGTCCAAGGTGAATTGAGATCACTTGTTCTCTTATTCCCTATAGCCATTTGCTGATTCTGGGCATGGGCTGAGGACCTAGCTTTGCCTGGGCAGAGGGCACCTGAAGTTGGTTGGTAAAGTAAAACCAACCAAGCTCTTAGTGGCATGTGGCCATAAAG